TTCCCCTCCTCCAAAGCCCTCATGCTGCAGCCCGTCTGTGGAAAGGAACTCAGCACCTGCCATGTGCCTGCTGTTTTCTGTCACTGGAGTTGTACAGAGCTGGCCGATGTGCTGGTAACACCACCCCACTATGGGTACAGGCAACTTATGCACTGCCTCTTTGCCACAGGGCCAGCACACTTCAGGAACACGCAGCACTCTCGTCAGAGTGCATTGGCATGACAAAGTTGTGGCAAGAACGCGTTTTCTGTGGAAGAAACATTGCAGGAAAGCCCTGAGTGAACTCCTTGTCATCTTTCATAAGCCCTGAGGCATGTTTATTGTTAGTAGAATAGATAACAAGATGCTTACAGCAGTGTATGTAACTAGGAAAAAATCTCCAGTGTAAAATGTTAGTGCCATCACAAGTAAGAATTAGAAAAGCGTGTGTGAATCCTTCGTAAACTCAGTCATCCTTATTGTTATCAACAAGCCAAATCAGAAACCTGGCCTGCTGCTGTGCAATTTGAGCATGTTCTGCAGAGAGACAGTGAGACAGGCAGGGGGCCACCAACCCTGAGAGGAGAAGCCATGGGAGCTGGGCTTCTTCAGCCTGGGGAAGAAACAGCTTCAGGGGGACACAAAAGCAGCCCCCCAGAAACTACAAGGGGTTTATTGAGAAGATGGATCTGGGCTCTTTATTGAGTTGTTCTGTGGAGGAAAAGGGACAATGGACATTAATTGAAAAAAACAGGGTTTAGATAAAGAATGTAATTTTCACTATGAGAATAATGAAGGAACGAGTTATCCAGAGTCCTTGGAGGTTTTCAAGACTGGGCAAATCCGTGATCACTCTGATGTGGGTTCAGTGTGACCCTGCCTTGGGCAGAAGACCCCCGAGGGCCCTCCCGCCTGGGGTGTCCCTGTGATGCTACTAACCAGCCAAGTCTTTCCCACAGCCAGGCAGAAGCCAGCCGCTGGATGTCACCCTGCGCTCACTGAACAATGCTACTCCCACCGGCAAACAAAGGATCAAATCCCATTGCAGCGGGAAGGCTTTCTTAATTACAAGCTTTTTACTTCACGTAATGATTTAGGAGTATTACACTTCTTCAAAGCCAGCCTTGCTGAAAAATACACAACGGTTTAGTTTAAAAGCTTCGGAATCCCCACCCAAGGTTGAAAACTTAATGCTAACTTCAGCCAAATAGATACCATGAGATCGTAAGTTAAGAGTGCAGTTCGAGGCCACATTAAGAATCCTACACAGCCCTGTTTAAACGCAAAACTGGAATACACATCAAGCTGTGCATATATTTCCCCTATGCTGGGATAAAATGAACAGAAACAGACTGTAAGATCTTGTCATACAAATAGCACACACTGCATGTAAGATATTGTGTACGTATTACTAAAACAGTAACAGTGAAACTGCTGTGATTTCTAGAAAGAAACTGCAAGGACAATAATCACTGTAGGGGAAAAAGAAATAAACTAGAAAATCAAAAGCATCCTCCACTGCCTGCTAGCATAATATTGATTCTCCTCTCCTTCTCCTGAAAGTCAGTTCCTGTTTATTTCAGCCAGGTACGCTACAGCATGAACACTTAGGGGTCTGACTGGCAAGCTGTGTTGTTCTGAAACAAGCTTCACCTAAGAATGTGAAATGCAGAAAGGAGATCTGTGTTCAGTGTCAAAACTATTGATCTTTAACAGTCAACTTCACATTAATAGTACTGCCAACTGCAAGCACTCAAAAGTTTTCTACAGACATCCCGTGCTCCCCTGCCATTCCTCCCTTCCCCACTTCCCCCAGATTTCATGGTACAAATCTGGGATCATTTTGTTTACCTTTGGTGCTAGTGCTGTTAAGATTAAGGTTGTCATGCTTCCCTACATTTGTAAAGGGTAGAAACTTAGACTTTCCTCTAAAAACAGGAGATACTCTTGTTTTTCTCTTGTAATAATCAGGCCTTAGCAATGGTAATTTTAAGTTAATCAAATTGTGAAATTTGTGGTAAAATAATGAAAATCAGCCTACTGAAAATAAAACCAAGTACCGATTTGATTCAAGTGAATGAATGACAATTGAGGCATATTGTGCCTCTTCTCTAGAGTGAGAAGACCATGTCAGACTGCAACATCTCCACTCTTCTGAGCACACACCCCGTCCCTTGCAAAGTCAATCTACCCAACATGCCTTCTCGGTGTAGCATTTACAGTGAAGAGATTGCCCTCAGAGAGGCAATGGCCATAAAGATCAGGAATTGTTGCATTCATTGTATCACATCCCTGGTGACTAACGAATGAAGTCACAATTCTCCTTTGGACAACTAAAAAAAGGATCCTGCCAATAACTCACATAATGAAGCTATAAATTTATCTAGTCTATCATACCAGAGTTCAGATTGTAGCATAGGTCACCAGCGCTCGTGAGATGACAGTTTTACACAATGTGGATGTATAAAACAAGTACCTATGACACTGGGCAGATGAAAGGTGCTATAAAGCTTCATTAGATTGGAAACCATCCAACAGTTGCACATTAGAGACTGAATTCAATAGACAAGTAGCTTTCCCAGTACAATGCTTCTTCACAGCCAGATGCTTTATGAATACCACAAAGTGAACCCTTATCTTACTTTCCTCAGAATTAGATTTTCAAGTAGCAAAGACAGACTTTGATGCCCCTTGAAAGCCTGCTGAGTTATTTTCTGTACAGAAGAGATCACCACAGAACAGGGCCTCTGATGGCAGCCAGGGAAAAGGCAAAGAGAAATAAATACATACTGCCCACATTCTGCCACGATGGCCCCAGACTTGCTATAAAGAAGTCATAGCAGGCTGTTTTTCACCAATACTCCAAATGTTGCCCTTTGTGCCAGCTCAAAAAGGACAATATATGTATACCTACTCCCTGTTGTATGCATCCTGCGCTGAAAGTATTCTCCTCTTAGTTGTTGTTTTACTATCCTGAAGTATCCATAGCTCGTACAAGCTGGTTAAGGAGCAAACAGGAGCTGAAAGTAGTTATGTCTGCAAGCTTTTCTTTACAAGGACATGGGTTAAGGATTAAGCACAATGTCAAGGACTAAAATCACTGGTCTCACTTTATACGACAGAAAGTCCAGTTCTCCTGGCCTGCAGCTCCTGCACTGTAAATGAAGAAGAAAGGACAGTATCTTTGTGGAGAAATGTATATAAAGCTTTTTACATCTGCCTCTTACACATCCATGTAGAACTGGGTACATTAATAACTGTAAGCAATTATCTGAGATGGTGATTTCAGGAAAAACTTGTGTTTTCCAATAGCAAGTGCTAAACCTCACCTCACAATTTTCATTCATGATATCCACAGCTCAATTTAATGTATTTTGTGTGTTGTTTGCAAACACCTACTGCTACGTGTACTCTTCTGGTACACACAGCTTCTAACGTGTGACCAGGTATAGGATGCATTTCCATTGAGCCTATCTAAAATGAATGCATTTTCAATGTTTTGCAATTGCAAACACCTCATCTTGGAAAGCTGGGCTCAGTGGGAACAATCCAGCTAAAAAATTACACAGTTTGTTAAAAAGTAACTGTTTGCTCACAGACAACCCTGCCAGAGGTCTTTCACAAATGCAAGTACTGCTAGTCCTAAAATGTTTTGTCATTCAACCTTCCAAAAATAATGAAATGTTACCTAAAGAACTTACTTTTTGAGGCTGAACTGAGAGCATGGAGGCAGAATACCACCACTGCTTTAAGCCACAGGCATGTTTAACGCTGAGTGACACAACCTCCCGCTCTGGGGGGCTGGAGGCTCCGCCCAGCGGCTCCCCACGGGTCCCCCCGTCCCGTGTGGAGGCAGCGGAGAGCTGAGCTGGCGATGACCGGCCCAGGACTGGCACCCTCGCGGCCATTATGCCTCAGGCGGCCCTTTCCCCCTCCCAGACCCGCGAGCTCGGGGCGCGAGGGGGCAGAGAATGCCCGATTCCGATTGGCTGCCGCGCTGGCGGGCGCTCGATCCCGCCCTTCTGGAAGGTTCTCCGCCGGCTGAGGCGCTGAGGCACGGGGGAGCTCCATGAGGGCAGAAGGCGGAGCAGCCGGTGTCGGGCTGCCACAAGAGGGCGCTCGGAGTCGCAGTCAGGCTTGCGTTTCCGAGACAGAGTACCCACCTCTATTCTGTGGCTTCAGAAACGTGCTTGTTCGTAAAAAATTAAATTTTCTACTTCCTCACCCGATTCCATGAGTGAGGCTCTCCACGACATAGCAGGCATCCAAGCACTGGCAGTACAACTGTTAGAGCCAGAGAGGGATCAGCAGGATACCTCCTCCAATTCTCCTATTTTGAACATTTAGCAAAGGCTAAACATCTTTATACCAGTACTCAGGGGAGCAACAGGGCACCGTGCACTCTCCAAGCTGGGGGAGGCCCTGGGCAGGCACCATCCCCAGCCTTACCCCATCCTCCTGTTACAGTCCGTGGCCCTGAGCCATGGTTTCAGCCTGCACATGCCCCGTACCAGCACGCACGACGGGCGAGATACTCTTTTCGACACACTGCTAAAGCCCATATTTAGTTACTGGTGATTTCTCAGTTGTTGGATAGCTCTTGCAACAAAAATTATTTATTCCAGCGAGTCACAGATGGCTCACCCAAGGAAGGTATTTTTAATATCTAATACATGGTGTAAGGTTATGGCAGGACGATGCAGGTCAAGATCACACATCTAATCCCATACATAGCATATTTATAGCACACAGACTTATAGCAATTCAAAGGCTATTAGCTTTATTAACAAGTAACGAAGTATACGCAGGTAAAAAATTTCTGAAGAGCAAATCCTGTGTGGGAGTATTTCCCCACCCCAAATCACTCCCCTTTAAATGAAAACTTCCTTGTTTTGAAGAAGGATTACTTGTTTCACAAACATCTATTACAGGAAGGGCTGTGTGTTCAGAGAGGGTGTCCACGTTTCCTCCTGTCAGCTTTCCCTGGTGGCAGCCGAGAGATTACTTGACTGCTTTCAGCGCTATTCACAGAAGAAATCAATGTCCTGAAAAAGAGAGTTAAAAGGAAATGTTTTGAGATTACTGAAGGATTAACGTTCCTTTATCAACCCCCAAAGGTACATGAGTAGATGCAAACACAGAATACACTATAATATACTCAAAGTATTCTGGAAAGGAAAAAGGACTTTTATCTTTTGCCTCCTTTTGCGTAACTGGGATGATTTGTTGCTGCCATAAATTTTTAAAGTGAATTAGGCAATACCACCTTCTCTCTTCATTTCAAATGATTCCTTTCTCTCCCTTTTTTGTTTTGTATTCCCACAACCATACCTGGATTTATTAGTCATACGTAACCCTTTATCCTTAAACAATTCCTAATCACACCTGAAAAGGATGCCTTAAACAGACTAAGGCTATGTGATACACTTGCTATGGAGAAATGTGACTAGAAAATAAATGCCAGTATTTTCCTTGAAAACGTCCAGCATGGGATAGACTTCCACAGCATATTGCCTTCATCTAGCTTCCTGCTATTATGTTATATGGCTATGTAGATCTCGATTCTGCTGCAGGGAATTATCTATCACACTGTGGTGCTCAGACTGTATGACATTTACATTAGACCAGCGTATCACATATAGCTGTCCACTGGAAGCAGAAGACAGAGAGCTGTTTTCGAACAGATGCTTACTGGTAATGAAAGTACTCTCATCTTAGCCAGCAAATGGCCAATTTTAAGTGATCGAGAGAAGGCAGGCAATCCAACACTGCTTTGTACTACACACAGTCTATTGTGTTGAGTCTATTGTATTTCAGTGTGATTCAATGGCTCAGAAGTAGCAGCACTGAGGAAAAAAAAAAAATCTCCTAAGATTTATTGCTCAAATGGCAACCAACAGGCATGGATTACCCAGTGCTGCACAAAAGGATGCTGAGAGAAGCTCACAGGCAGAAATGTTTATTAGCGGAGTCTGTAGCTAATGGCATACATTGACTCCAACACTGAAAGTTACTTTGTTTTGGGGGGGG